CCAGATGCTAGCAGCTAGCTACCAGCTTTTGCTCTGATCTGAAGCACGACCGTGTTCATAATTTTACTGAGGCTGCACTGGGCCCCACAAAGAGATACCTTTGTTTTGAGAAGTTTCATTTTTTAGGAGGTGGGGCAATGCTTTGTATTAAAACCTCCCGCAGACGTGTGCATTTCAGTTTCTGGTGGCATGGGCATTTGTACCAAATTACTTTAATTATTCCAAGAAGTTATAAGCTGATTGAAATTGAGTTAATTGTAGAGCCTTCACTGTAGTCGTGCTAGAAATCAACTGCTGTAAAGAACTGAGCTCACACTGTGTGCAACCTTTATCTTGAACCATAAGAAACAGGAAACCTATGTGGGTTTTCTTGCAACAACCTGACATTTATAGTTGCTTTCTGAGCAACAGCTATGGAGATTATGCAGCCGTGCACCACAGCTGTCAAAGGGAAAAATTTTTCAGAGAGGGTCCTGTCCAGTTTTGGTACGCATTTGAAAGAGAGTCACTTCAATTTGCAACTGGTTCTTTGTTTATCTGCTTTTCTTCTCAGGGGCTTGCCTGTTTTCATCTCCACTGGGGTGCTGGGCAAACTAGGATCAACCCTTCAGTCTCAAAATTCAGAGTCAGCTCCAGGGAGCAGCAGGAAACCTCTTTAGGTGTGCCAGGGACTTGAATTTCCCAGTCCACACATTCATGACTTGGCAGTTCTTTCCTCACTGTTTCCAATGGGATCCCAAGGAAACAAACCCCACCTTTCCTCCTGCCCTTCGTAGGCCAAAGAAAGGACTAAGGATTATGAATACTCCCTCTTGCCTCTCGCCCTTCACTGCCAACCAATAGTCCATATCATAATTGCCGTAATCCCTCTAAGCTGGGGCAGCCCTGTCTGGGGATGGACATTGAAAAGAGCCTTTCTTAATGCATTACATTCTAATTCTCGTGCTTGGCTGCTTGCTTGAGGGTTAAAAATGAGTCTTGATAGCAGACATTACAGTGGCCATGAGGAGATGGTTTAGGGAGTCTATTTTCCTCTTTCTTTTTCTATGTTTTTTTTTTTTAAGATGTGAAAAAGGTATTCAGCATCAGAAGAAAATAGTGAAACAAGTTGGAACAGCACATAACAGTTTTTACATGTTGCTTTTTAGCAAAGATTTGTGGTTAATGTTACTAAATTTTTACTTGAAAACCAGTTGGGGTTCTTGTTGAAAAACAATTTGGGCTTCAGGGTTTTCTGACAAACTTAAGAAAATTATGAAAAGCTGAGGTTCCTCCTGCAAAACACCATTTTAAAGAAATGTTTTCTCACTTAATATTTGAAACCCTTTTCCTCTTAGATGATATTTTCTTACGGTGCCTAGTCCTATCACTGGGGACAGATTTTCAAATAGGCTCACCTTCCATTGCCACACTAGATGTAAGTGTCCATGAATGTAATTAGGTAAGAGCACTGGGGATTTGGCATGTTTTGAGGTCTGGTTACAGCCTCTCCACTTAAAAGTGCAGAACACCTGAGAAAGTAGTTTCATATCTAAACATCAGCTCCTCCACTTTTTGAACAGCAAACCAAGGAGCTAAATAGCCAATAAGCTGTATGCACAGAGTCACTTGTCTGCCACTGGGTTGCATTTTCCGTAGAATCACTACATGGGTGCTTACCACCCAAACCCAGCCTTCATCAGCCTTCAGATATTGCAAAGACATCTTTGCTTCTACCATGACAGATACTGAAACTGAAGTTGAAATATGAAGAACCCAAAAGTGAAATAATGAAAGACAATTTTTTTGTCTTAGTTTATATTGCTTTTGATTTTGTCTTAGAAGCCCTGGAGGGGAAAAAAAGGCCTAATACAAGACCTCCAGGTCTGTAACTGATGGTAAGTTCAGATCAGATCCAGTTCTCCAGATGCAACAGTTCAAGTATCTAAATGTTTAGTTGTTCAAATGGTGTAAAAATCTGTGCAGGTAGAAGGGCCAGCAGGTGCCCCAAATGTATTTATGTGCTGAAGAAAGGTAGTTGGGACTGGGAGGAATTGCAGAGGGGTAGCTGACCACTCTGGAAGACTGTGCTAGCTGAGCCCCTGCCACAGCTCAGGGCAGGAGCGAAGGGCAGTGAAGTGCTTCTCCTGTTTCGAGTCTGCACAGGAAGCACATGATGCTCTTTTCTAATTTCTAAACGCCTTGTGCAAGCTCTCTGCAGAACAGCCTGTGGCATGCCACTGAGAGGGACTTCCTGCCTGCTTGCAAGGATTATTTGGACACCGAAGCTCCTTCTGTAGTCTTCACTTTTTTCCCCTCTTTGGTTTTTGCCACAGTAAAGCCAAGCCACAGAGTCCACCTCCACCATGGAGGCAGTCAGGCAGATTTTTGTCAAATACTTAACACAATTTCAAATACATTCACAGGAGGTAAGAAGTAGTTCTAAAAGCATAATTAATAGCAACTGGAGGCAAAAAAAAAAAAAAAAGTGAAAAGGATAGAAAGAAGGGGAAAAGTATGGAAAAGCGGAGGAGCTGAGCATAAGCAAAATGAAAGTACTCAATAAAATAGAAAGTTGTAAGACATTCTTTAAAGCCTGGACGAGATAGGGGTACCAGAATAATGAGTGGCATGCATAATAGCTGCTATCTTCCCTGTGGGGCTTCATGGAAAATGCAGTGCCTGGCAGCACTTCCCAGGGAGGTTGTTCCATCACAGCTGCCCCTTGGAACACACAGCTTTCTCTTTTTTTCTGCCAGCATCCAGGGGAAGACTGGGTATCTGGGAATGGCACTGCTCTTCAACAGGGGCCCTGATCTGTCTGCTCAGGTAGTCAGGCGTGTGAGGGACAGCACTGAGCACAAGTTCAGATACAGCCTGGTAGAACATCGGCTTTCCCAGTCAGTCACCCTTTTCCCAGCCAGTCTGGGATCATGTCAGCCTTCACTAAAGCTGAAGGAATATCAGAGCAGCTAAGCTTTAGAAGCTTTGGATGTACTGATTTGTCCAAGGAATAAACTGGTTCCTAATTCAGCCAAGTGGGAACTAAAACTGCAAGCATGCTTTATGTTACCTGCTGTATCAGGGTCTTCCTCTGGCTGCTGTTCGCAAGAGCCTTGAACATGCTGCCAGGCTTTTTGTCTCTGCTTGGAAGGAAGAAAGTTAAATAAGTGAAATGGCTTTTCAGTCATCAGTCTTTTGACTAGCAGTGGGCAACAGGATCCATGAGTGGTAATGGCAATATTTTCCTATGCTTTCTCAGTCTCATCCTCTGTGTTCTCTAAAATATGTGGAGACTGTTGAATTTTATGGGTAGATGTTTGGAATGCCAACTCAGTTTACATTATGAATAATAACTCATCAACATTTCACCAGGAAAAAAATTATAATTAAAACAGACTCTAAAAATTATTTACATATTTTACAGTACCACAGGAATGTAGTGGTTTATTATGTCAGTTCTGTCAGGATAGGATTATTCCTGTATATGTTAAATCCCAGGTTCCTGCACAACCGTGGCAAATTAACTGCAAGAACAAAACCAAATGTGCCTGCTGCTTAAAGCTGAGCTAATTTTGTAGAACAAACACATTTTACTGTTTCCCTCTGTGTACTTTTATTTATACCTAGCTAGATCTTCTTCTCTCTCAGGAACTATTTCAAAAGTAGTAAAACTATAACAACCCCAAAAAAGAAATGAAAAATGATGTTGTGACAGGTCTTGGTTCCCTGTGTGGTCTGATGGCCCCCTCCAAAGCCCACCCAAAGGAGTCAGTGGCCCTAGACAGGGAGAAGGGGACCAGTGTGCTTCCATCAGTGTGGTATTTGGATGCTTCGGAAAACTGTCCAGTGAGATTGCATGGCTCACCCTGAGGTAATATGTGAGATAGCTTTTTGATTTGTTTTATATTTTTAAAGGCAGGAAAGCCTGTCAGCCTAAAACCTTTTCAGAAATTACCTCTAACTCACAGAGTTGCTCTTAAAATCACCACTTTGCCTTGGTTACCCCAAATGGAGTAAAGAGCTAGAGAAGATGTTACAGAACTATAACAGATGATTGACATGTTTCTGAAGTTGAAGTTATTTGAGCTGCTAATGGAGGATTTAGTCTAAATGAGATTGTTTTAAAGTTGTGATTGTAGAAGCCAAATATTTTATTTGATATAAAAGGAAATCATAAAAGCATAGAATCCTAGAATCAGCTAGGTTGAAAAGGATGTCTGAGATCAAGTCAAACCCTTGATCCACTACCACCATGGTTACTAGACTATAGAACTAAGTGCTACATCCAGTCTCCCCTTAAAAACCTCCAGGGATGGAATACCCACCACTTCCCTGGGCAGCCCATTTCAATGCCTGATTACCCTCTCTGTAAAGAATTTCTCCATAATATCTAACCTAAATCTCCCCAGGCAGGTGTCACAGGCTCACTCCATCCCCTGCCAGACTCAGTGGGTGATAATCCTGCTGCTGTGCTCAGCACACAGGTCAGGCACCCAGGGCTGGAGTCACCTCTCCTTTGCTTAGCGCTAAGTTGAGCTCCGGATTCCCCTCTGCAAGGACTATCCTTTTCCATCATTTCTACAGGGGGCCCTGGAGATTCCTTTCCTAATTACAGCACTTCAGATAAAATTTTGCTCAGATGGCTCTGGACCCAAACATTGAATTAATAAGATCTGATAACTCAGCATCACTATTACATCTCCCATTTCTGTGCATAGTTTGTTTCAGCTGCAAGTTCTTTATAGCAGCATCTGTCTTTCATTACATGATTGCATGGTATCTGGGACTGTGGAGCAATTAGACATAAAAATAAGAATGAGAAAAGTATTTAACTTATTTAACTTACATTTAACTTCGTTGTGCTGAATGATGGTAGGGGAATATGACTTCCAAATAAATAGTCTGCTATTTATTCATGCTGACTTTTATTCTTGTCTGGTGAGCTGCAGTTCCTCTTTGGAGCAAAAGCCAACATTGCCATATGAAAATACCAATTGCTGTGTTCCTGTGCAGTCTCTCCAAAAGCCTTGTGAGTATCTTTCCTTTTGTCTGGGAGGGCATTTCATGTATTTGTGTGTGAATTGTTCCTAAAACAAAGATGCATTCTCACTCTCAGGCTGTGAACCTGGCACATATTTTCTTTAGAAAAGATCAGACTATCTGAATAAAAGCTGCTTCAATACTGCCTTGCAAGTGTGTTCAGCTCTGTTGGAAAATGAACAATGGATTTGTTACTAAAAGTGCCATAAATTATGTTTGATTTTGCTTACTGCCTAGAGAGTAATTAAAAAGCCATTTAAATGGATAATAAATTATGTGGAAAACATAAATTGAATTTTCATGCAAGAAGATGGTTCAATAATCTAATCACACATAAACTTCATGCTGGAGAGCTCTGCTTTTTTTCTTTATGGGACTTCTGAAGTAAATTGCCCCCCAGTCTCTAATGAATTGCATATACATACACTCTGCCATAAAAAAATCTCAATTTAATGGTCTGTCAGATATGGCTATTCCTATGTCTGGATACTCTGTTTATCTAAATGTCTTTCTGGTGCTGCTACTTAAAAAATTGAACACAGAAGAAGTCAAGATCAACTCTGAAGGCAGCTATGTAAATGATGCCAGAGGCTGCCTTTTCTTTTGGGTAGGAGGCACATTTCTTATCATCATTAGTTTTCCAGCCTTCTGCTCAGCTACACAAAAACAGTGGTGGTTATTCACAGCAGGACCAGCAGGTCCCTCCTACACACAACAGGCTGAGGCAGGTAATACCAACTTCTGCAGAAAACACAGAAAACATTATCACTAGTAAGCCTGTTTGCCTCACTAAATTGTTTGTCTAATAGGAAAAAAGTGGCATGAGCAGAACAAGCAGAAATTGGGATCAGAGCATCTGTTGCTTGAAGGTAGCATAGCACTGGGCTGAAGGCAAATCCCTCAATACCAGCTAATTGGGAGATTTTGCAGTGAATCAGAAGCTTGTGGTTCATTCCCATCCTAGACATGCCTGCAGGGAAGGCAGAAGTGTGGGGTGAATGGAGGATTTGCACTTGGACCAGCCAAGACCCTTTGCTTTTCCATCATTTCCTTGTCTGTTGAGGTAATCTGACAACCATTTGGATCTGTTGGTAAAGAGCTCCATCAGTACTGTGCAAGGCTGTGCCACGAACACCAGTGATGTGCTCCACACCTGTGAGATGTTCATACTTAACCAGGTAGCTGGAAGAGAAGCTCATAAACATCTGAAAGCTGGAGAGCTGAGATGGTGAACTGGAGTGACTGGTACAGTTCCTGGCAGGAGACCCAGCTGACACCTAGGGCTGCATGACAACACTGAGACCTCATTTGCTGATAAAGTTTTGCAAGCATTTGCTGACATCCACAGATTATGTGTATTGTGGGGGCAAGGACAGTGATGTCATCCCTAAGGGGTTCTGCCTGGGACCTGTGGATTACATTGCATCAGAAGATGCCTGTGTTATCAGTGTAAAACCAATTAAAATTCTTCCTCCTTTTGAGCTGGATGTTGGTCCATGATAATGTCATTCCTGTGACAGTGACACTGAAGGAAAAGCCACAGACAGCTTGGTGTAAACAAGTGAAACTCATGACAGTGTCACCCTCTATCCTCACTAAGGCATCGTGCGAGCTCAGCATTACTGAGGCAGCAACAATATATGGGGGACAAGGAAGCAACAGTTGCTGTATTTGAAATATATCAGACTGTTTACCTTTTTTAGGAGAATTCTTTTGGTAGACATGAGTTCCAAACAGAATAAGAAATGTTTGAAGTGTTTGAGCCTAAAGACTGCAGTATTGCAACGTATGCCCCTCACAGAGGTGCTGAGAGAAGTTGAACAGTCTCATTGGCTCCAATCTGCAGCATGAGAGCTAGGGATGACCGCTCCAGGAAGAAAACCAGATCCTCTCACTAAATAGACTCCAAAGAATAAAGGAAGTAAAAAAGTAAACATTTGGTACCAGTCAAAACAAGAGACATTTCTGCAGAGATGATGGGTGCTAAATATATCCCAGTGCTTGAGGCATCAGAAGGGCTCGGGCAGTGGCCCTTAGATAAACATTGCATGGTGTTGTGGCCGTGTAGCTTTGTCCTGGAAACTCTTTTGGGTTCCTTTCATAACCAAAGGTTTTTCATGATAAAATAAGAGCTTGGAGGGAGTTATGCTCTATATCAGAACATGTCTCTGGATCATCAACACCTTTGGAAACAGCAGTAGTGGCAGCTTGTGCATCACAGCTCTAGCAAACCAGGAAGGCCAGAGAGAGCAACTTCACCCTTAGTCCTTCCTTCACAAAATGTTTGATCTTTGTACATGGGAAGGCACTGTTAAATGAACGTGGCCATAAATTATTTCTTGCCTCTGGCGAACAGAGGTGATTTTCAGTTCGAAAATATGAAATTCTAATGAAGAAAAAAGTTAGTGGGGAAATGTGCTTCCAGCACACTCTCTGGAGATTTTGATTAAAGTGCTAGGGAGTGAAATGCAGAACTGGAGATTGTTATGTAGTGCTGTGAATTAAAAAAAAAAAAAAAAGCCACAAACAAGCAAAATCCTACCATGGTCACAAACAAAACGTAGATTGTCATTACCAGGGCAGAAAAATGATGCTGTATAAAATAATAGAGATTGTTAACACATGGTGGCTAACACAGCGTGTTCATTAGCTTTTTTCACAAGTGAAGGGCATGCTCTTGGTGGTCTACTACTAGACACCCAGTTGGGTAATTTTCAGACATTAACAAACATACGCAATTAAAGTATGCATGGTTTAGGGATGGAAATACTTAAGAGAAGAATAGGGGGTGTTTTCTATTAGCTTCCTAAGAATGTTAATGTCAAAGAAGTTCATCTGGCAAAAGGGCAAAAGAGTCAAGTAAAGGAACTGATTTTGGTATCATTGGGAAGAGTTTTTATTTCTTTAGGGAAAAGTAGGCAGTGAGGAATAGTAGGTAGATTTAATTTGTATAGAAGAAAAGCCATTAGTCCACAAGATAGAATTGCTAACTTTTCTAGTAGTCAGGATACATCTGAAATAGTAATGCTTGACTTCACAGTTTGGTTAGCAAGGATTTAATATGTGACACAATATTACTATGGATATATCAACACTCATCCTATGTTCCTCTGTGACTGTTAAGTGGAGAAGGCATCAAAATAATATGTCAGGTAAAAATAGCATGACTTCTGTCTCCAGTCTATGTTTATCACTGTTACTGAACAAAGCTTCACTAGTAAAGCATGTATTATCACCTACTGATATTTGATTCCCACAGATAGAGACACAGTTATGGCACCGTTTTCTAAATGGTATTTTTGCACAATGTCCACACTAGCAAAACAGTGCATTATAAGCACTATTGCTAATACAGCACCCATGTCATTATATATGTTGTCCACACTTGATGAGCTTTGAAAACATGGACTATCAAGGTATCCACAGCCACAGTGGTGCGTTGGATTTCATCCAAATGCTCCAAATGTCTGACTAAGCTCTGGGACTCTGAAATGGGTGAATGTGCTTGCCGGTTCTAAGTAAAACCCAAAAGATGCAGTGATGGCTCTCCTCCATGTGGGTGACAGCAAGAGGAACTCTGAAGTGGAGAACCTTCACTGTGTGGAATTGCCAGGTCGTGTCCCAGGAGCTTGTGGCTGGAGAGCAGACTTGCCCTGCCTGGAGGAAGACCCCTGGAAGCACAGGGGAAGCAAAAGAATGAGACACTGTATGCGAGTACAGGAAGGAAAAAGCGAGCTCAAAATCTTGGACGGTCCCAAAAGAGAGCCTAAGTGGTAATATAATTAATATCTGGGACAAAAAGGAGGAGCTGGAGCTCCATATCCAGTCAGGAAATTATGATATCAAAGGAATAACTGAGAGAGGTCTTTCATAAAGACAGGCAGGGTAAAAGAGGCGAAGAATCATAGAATCATAGAATCAGCCAGGTTGGAAAGGACCTCTGAGATCAAGTCCAATCCTTGATCCACTACCATTCTGGTTTACTAGACCGTGGCACTAAGTGCCACATCCAGTCTCATCTGCTTGTAGGCCTCTAGTGAGTTGAACATATGAAAAAACTTTTGTTTCTGTCATAGCCATTGGACTTGAGTCGTTTAATTTTCTATTAAAACAACATCATGCTGAATGCATTTTATTCAGATTGAACACCAAGGATTCAAATAGCCAAAGAGTAAAAATAGGCAGGCTTGTAAAATGCACTTTGAGACAATTTCTTCTTCTGTCTGGTTTCCAGAGGAAATAACACTTGTGCAACCACATTGTCTGTGTGTAACTCTCTGTCTGCCTCTCTGCCTGGCTGTTTAATATCTGAGCCCATTCACAGATACCAAGAAAATTTGAAGGAGTCAGAGGTGTCAACAAAATATATTTCATGAAAGAGTGTCTAGGAGGAGAAGGCTCTTTGTCAGTGGAGGAGAAAGGTTGTGGTGTAACAGAGAGGAAGAGTGCAGTCAAAGCTTACAAAACCCAGCTCTAACACACCAGAGTGAATACACTGAAGATGAAGCTGTGAAAACTCCACACAAAGCCAACACTTGATCAGGGCTTGAACATCACTAGTTGTGAATCAGACAGAGGACAATTTTTTGTAAAACTACCTGAATAATAGAATCAGAATCATAGAATTAACTGGGTTGGAAGAGACCTCCAAGATCATCAAGTCCAACCCTTAATCCAACCCCACTATGATTCCTAGATCACATCCAACCTCATCTTAAAAACCTCCAGGGATGGTGAATCCACCACCTCTCTGGGCAGGCCATTCCAATGCCTGATCACTCTCTCTGTAAAGAACTTCTTTCTAATATCCAACCTAATAAGTCTGATATATTGAGGAACCAGGCATTGACTACAACTTGGTCTTTACTCAATTCAAGATTTCATCCATGGTGTTTGGTTGCAAAGAGGTTAGGCATTAGCACAAGCTAGATAAGCTGTGTTCCTTTAGGTCATGTGGGAACACATGTGAGATCTTGGTTGGAGCAAGAA